GGCGTCCCGGAACGAGAGCCACCTTGTATGTGTTGGTAGGTAGAGGGCTGGGGCCGGGGGTGGGGGCCGTGACCTGCTGCACCCGGGGGCCTGAGCCCTACGCAGCCTGGAGAGGATGGCTCGGCCCTGGCCTCACCACCGCCTCCCACCTGCAGAGAGTGCTACCGGGCCTGCGGGAGCTGCTCGGGGCCGGAGGACTCCAGCTGCCTGCGCTGCAAGAGGGGCTGGATGCTGCACGACCACCGGTGCATTGGTGAGTCCCCACGGACGCAGGGCTCAGACCGGAGGGCGAGGCGCAGGGTGCAGTGACCCTGCCTGGGTCTGGCAGAACCCGCAGCCCTGGGGTGCTGCTTTCCCTGCGCGATTCTCCACCCGGCCTGGAGGAGCTTCCCCTTCTCCTCAGCTGCCGCAAGAGGGGTGCAGGACTGCACTCCCATCAGAGGAGCGTGCATGGGGGAGCGGGTCTGGGGGCAGTAGCCCTGTGGGCGGTCCCCCGCAGCTGACGCCCCTTCCACCGCAGACATAGACGAGTGTGGCACGGAGATGGCGCACTGTCGGGCCAACCAGTTCTGCGTCAACACGGAGGGCTCCTATGAGTGCCGAGGTCAGCGCCCGTCCAGGGTGTGGGGCATGTTGGGGGCTGGGGCTGGGTTGCGGCTGCTCTACTAGAGCACCTGGCCTGTGCCCCTAGTGTTGCTGCCACCCTGGGCGCATCCTGGCCTGGTGCCCACCCCGATGCCATTGCCCTGGCACAGGGAAGGGCCCCTTCCCCACTTGGCTTGACCTGCCTCTGGGCCTGGCTATGGGCAGGGCACTGGGCCTTGTGGTCCAGGGGAGTGTGTCCTGCTGTCCATCTGTCTGTGGTGGCCCCAGCTTGAGGGGCCTCCCTCCCCTCCCCTCCCCTCACGCCTTCCTGTCGCCCAGACTGCTCCACGGCCTGCATCGGCTGCATGGGCGCTGGCCCTGCCCGCTGCAAGAAGTGCAACAAGGGGTACCGGCGGGACGGCGCCAAGTGCCTCGGTGAGTGCCCCAGCCCCTGCCTTGGTCAGTGCTCCTGCAGCCCCACCACCTCTGACCTCGGCCCCCTCGCCCTGCAGACGTGGACGAGTGTGCCAGCATGGAGGAGCCTGTGTGCTCTGGGGTGCATGAGGTCTGCGAGAATACAGACGGCGCGTATCGGTGCGTGTGTGCTGAGGGCCACGTGCGCAGGGACGGCGAGTGCATCGAGGACAAGCCGCCAGGTACTGCCTCCCTCGGGGGCTGGGGCTGCTGCCGTGGGCAGAGCAAGGCCCTCTCAGGCTGGGATGTGGCCCAGGGGTGACATGCATCGTTAGGGGGCAGCAGTTAGAACAGGAGACTGGGGGGTCCAGGCAGGGGGTGCTGCTGTCTCCCTGGGGCAGAGCCAGGTCAGGCTGGCCCTGACCCCTCCGGGCCCCCGCAGAGTCCCCGCCCAAGGGCTTTTTCGACGATGTGACAGATGACGAGGTGGTGGTGCTGCAGCAGATGTTCTTCGGCGTGGTGATCTGTGCACTGGCCACGCTGGCTGCCAAGGGTGACATGGTCTTCACCGCCATCTTCATCGGCGCTGTGGCTGCCATGGCCGGCTACTGGCTCTCAGACCGCGGTGACCGCGTGCTCGATGGCTTCATGAAGGGCAGATAGTGCGGGCGGCTCCCTGGGCAGGGCGGGCTGTGCCTGGGGCTCAGGCAGAGGGTCCGTGCACATGGGGCCTGGGTGAGAGCGGGCCCTGCGGCTGATGGCATGGCCTGTGCCCTGTGCGTTTCCAGTGCAGCCCCAGCCCCGCACCAGTTCAGAGCCCAGTGGGCCGGACCTCTCAGGGCCAGGCGCTGGCTGTGCCCCCTTGACTTTGCCCCTGTGGGTCCAGTACCTGGTGAACAGCACCCACAGTGCCAGCGGGACTGTGGCATCTCCTGAAGGGCCCCAGTTCAGTTGTGGGGCTTTTGAGTCCCCCAAAGTGGGAGCTGGCCAAGGGGGACTGGTGCCTAGGGGAGCTCCTGTGCTCTGAGGCCAAGGTCCCTGTGGCCCTGGGACTTGACTGGACTGAGGTGGGGCTGTTGGGGACCCAGGCCCTTGCCCTGTAGCCCCCTCCCAGCTCAGGCTGCTCTGCCCTCCCTGTCCAGCCCTATTGCCTCTGCAGCGCCTCTCCTCCCAGAGGGACCCCAGTGTGGCAGCAGCAGCTGTGGGCCCTGCCCTGCTCTGCTGCATTGCAGCTTGTCTACATGAGCCCTGCACTCTGCCTGCCCCGAGGAGCTACCCGGCTGCTTCTCAGCACTCCTGCCAGCCCCTCGCTGCTAGCAGACCCCCGCCCCCGGCTTTGCTGGGCCCTTCGGGGGCCCAGAGCTGCACTGCTGGCCTGCTGTTTCCCAGCCCAGGGAGCTGGCCACCTCCCCCGGCCCTAGTGTGCCACGCCCGCCCTGCCCAGCTGCGAGACCGCCAGGCAGCTGCGAGATGGGCCTGGCACGCTGGACACGGGGCAGTGGGAGGACATCCATCTGCCCTCTTGACTTTAGGGCTCAATGTCCGTGTTAGGCAGGTCCCCTTCAGGGCCTGAGCTGGGGGCAGCTGCAGCACGGCCTGGCAGCAAAGGGCAGTGCCAGGGCACCCTGGGCCTGGCAGCACTGCCCCCAGCCCGGGGCAGGGGCCACCCCCGTCCCCTCCCTGCTGCAGCCCCGGGCTGGGCGGCACTGGGCCCCGCCTGTGCATGAGCCTCCCCCCTGCGCGGCCGCGTGTGTCTGCTGCAGCTCAGGAAAATAAAAGTTCATCCCCCACCGACTCCAGGCTTGTGTTGCGGGCGGGCGCTGCTGGGTTCGGGCCGCACGCGCCCCGCTGGGGGGGTCGGGCTGCCCGCCCCCCGGCCCCGACAAGAAGCAGGCGGGGCGGCTGCGGCACAGGGTTTATTGTCGCTTGGCACAGGGGCCCGGCCGGCCCGGTCACAGCTCGATGGTGTCGCGGGAGAGGCTGCGCGAGTCCACCCGCCG